GCAAAAGGACAAAACAAAAAAATGGCAGATATAAGCCCTAATATTAATTATAATAATTATATACATAATTACATATCAATAATTATATTAAATATAAGTGATATAAATTATATTTATGATAAAGTGGATTAAAAACATAATTCAATACAAATGGCCAAAGCATATCGTGAATCATGAGGGAAATGCAAATGAAAATTACAGTGAGGTATCATTTCATATATACCAAGACAGCTAAAATAAAAAGGAATGAAGTACTGATATATGCTACAGCATGAAAAACTGCTCAAAATATGACGTGCTGTAAAAGAAGCCTGACAAAAAAGATCACACATACATTAGACAATTCCTTTTTTAAGAAATATACAGAATAGGTAATATCATAGAAAGACAAAGCTGATTAATGTTGTCAGGGTAACATAGACAAAATAAGCAGAATGCTCATGTGTGTGATTTTGTTTCGTAACTAAACAGAAGCAATGGCTATACCATACTGTCAATATACAAAATGCTTCTGAACTGTACCCTTTAAAATGGTTAGCTTTAGCCAGCTGTCATGGCATGTGCCTGTATTCGTAATCCCAGCACTCTGGGAGGCTGAAGCAGGCAGTTTAGCAACAAAGACCCTATCTCAAAATAAAAAGTAACTTTTTTTGTTTTACAAATGTCCTGGGCTCAACCCCCAATACCATTTTAAAAAAAAGCTTAGTTTCATGGTATAGGAGTTTAAATAACAATGCTATTTATATGATTACATCTAAGATAAATCATATCTTAAATTTCAGCCAGCTTAAAAGAACTGAAATCATTTGGAGGATATTCAATCACAGAATTAAACTAGAAACTGATAACAGAAAAATAACTAGAAACTCTACAAACAGAAACTAAATACACTTCTAAATTATTCATGAGTCAGACGAAACTGTAAATGAAAAAAACTAAAACATTTAACCAAATGAAAACATAATACATTGAAATTTGTAAAAAGAGTACTGAGAGAAAAATTTGTAGCACAAATTGCGTGAAAAAGTCTTAATTAATCTAAGTTCTCAGTCTAAAGACATAGAGAAGAAAGCAGGAAATAACAAAGAGCAGAAATCAATGAAATGGAAACAGAAACAGAGAGAAATCAATGAAGCAAAAACCTGATTCTATGAAAAGATCAATAAAACTGACAGAGGAAGAGGGAAAGAAAGAGGAAGGGTAAGGAGATGGAGGTAAAGAGGGAAGGGGGAATGTAGGAGGACACACACACACAGAGAGAGAGAGAGAGAGAGAGAGAGAGAGAGAGAGAGAGAGAGAGAGAGAGAAAATCAGCATCAGGCATTAAACAGGAGCTATCCCTACAGACCCTGAAGGCATCAAAATGATATTAGAGAACTATGAATAAAAAAGGAATAATATGAACATATCAACACATAAAAGTCTGACAGTTTAGGCCAGATTAGTTCCCCTCAAATCAAAAACTACCACAACTTATCTACTATTAAGTATATAATTTGACTAGCTTTATAACTATTAAGAAAACCAAATTCATAATTTGAAAATTATAAAAAAGGGGAAAGATATATGCAATCTGAAGAGAAACTAGAGTATATCATTTGAAAGTTATGACAAGAGAAATCTCAGTGTCCAGATGCAACAGAGAGTTCTACAAAAAAGTGTAAAAAGTACCTGCCTATTGTGCACAATCTCTCATAAGGGGGAACAGGAAGGAACACTTGCAGATTTATTTTATTTAAGTAGCATTTCCTTGATGAGGGGGCAAGGAGAGGGGAGAGAAAATCAAAGATCGGTATTTCTCATGTATGTAAGAAAAAAGAAGAACAAAGATGCAAACTTAACAGTTAGAACAGGTTTATTAGAAATAAAACCAAGAGGGGCCGCGGACATGAGAACCAAGCAGCACCATCTCTTACAGACTCAGGGTTTTTTTATAGGGTTAAGAGGGGTCCTTGGGAGAGGGCTACGAAGGGAGTTGGAACTGGGTTGGTATGGCTGTCCTTCAAGTGCGCAGCCTGTGTTCTGATGGCAAGGGGAGTTTGCGGGAGCTGACTGATCTGCAGGCAGCTTACGGGTTCCAGCAAATTGAAATCTTAAAAGCACTGAAACTAAGGGGTGTTTTGAATGCGACCTTGGTCTCAAGGTGCTGGTCTGGTTTCTTCAATGTATATAAATGAAAAAAGCTCTAAATATTAGGTATAGGATTCAACAATATGTAAAGATAATTATGTAACATAAGCAATTTCCTTATTATTTCAGGGATGTAAGACTGGTTCAACAGTTGGAAATCAACCAATGCAATCCACCATATTAACAGATTACAGGGGAAAAAGAAAATCACACGTACAACTGATGCAGCAAAAGCATTTGACAAAATTTAACATCCACTTATTATTTCAAAAAAACCTAAGAAATATAAAAATAGAGGAAAACTTTTAACTTTTTGGGGGGCCATTGAATTCACTGCCTTTGTACTGAGTTATATCGCTATCCTTTTCTTTTCCTCCCTATCCTTGTTTATGTATTTATTTTTCTTTTCAGACAGGGTCTTACTAAGTTGCCCAGGCTGGTTTGGATTTGTGAGTCTTCTGCTTTAGTCTCCGAGTTGCTGGGATTATAAGTGTGTACCTCTACACCTTACTAGAATTTCTGACTTGATAAAAGAGTTATCTATAAAAACCTACAACTAATATTATACTTAAAGGTAAAAAACTAAATGCTAACATTGAAACAACTTTTTTTCCACCTCTAGCCAATGCAATGAGCCAAGAAAAATAAAAAAGCACACAGATCAGAAAGGGAGAAATATGAAAAATTTCTATTTACAGGTAACATAATTGCTAGCACAGAGCATCCCAAGGAGTCTTTAGAAAAAAACCTCTCCTAGAAGTAAGTTCAGCAATATCACAGAACTTAAAACAAACATATAAAAATCAACTGTATTTCTGTATATTGATAATGACTATATGAACACCAAAATTAGAAATATAATACCTTGCAGTTTCTCTAAATGGGATTATTTACCCTTATTCTATATATAATAGTGTAGATGACAACATAGATTCCTTTTGGATACTGGCAAAATAGTAATGTGACAGCATAACATTTTAGAATTTAAAACTTAGCTATTACATTGTGCCAAGACAGAAGCTCACTATTTTGATAAAGCACTCAACTACCAGATGGTTGATTTGAATGTTTCAGATCTATTTCACTGCAGTTTTTAATTTTAAAGTAAGATTGCAAAAGCTACTACTATGCAGAACCATACTCTATTGTAAGAAAATATAAATCTGACATAGACTCATAAGTGAATTTTCCAACTCCATTATTTTCTCTTTGAAGATAAATCACTGACTATTCCAGCTGGTCTTATGCTCCACTGCTTTTTTAGTGCTGTATAACTCTAAAATATGATGTTCAGCACTACTCTTAATATTTTATCACTGGAACTAAAGTAAATTATTCCACCAACCATGTTCCAGATATGACCTATTTTTAGACATACAAAATTAAAGAACTGAGGAGACAGGAGTTTATGGGGACTGAACTCAAGGACTTGGACATGCTAGGCAAGAGCTCTACCACTCAGCCACATCTGCACCCAAAGGTACAGAAATCTGATAGAGATATTTCTGGGGAAGCAAGCCACTTTTACAAATTATGTTCAGATTTAAGAACTCCATATGTATTTAATATAAGCAAAATTTTGTGAGGGTTTTTTTTTTTTTTGAGATAGGATCTCGATTATGTAACCCAGCCTGGCCTCAAACTTGTAATCCTCCTGCCTCAGCATCCTGAGTGGTGCAATTACAGTCAGGCTGCCCTATGCCCCACTCTTCTTTTACCTATTTTTGCCTTAACCTGAAACATCTAAAAATGCCTGGAGACATCTGATGATTCTAGATAATATAGCGCCCTTCTCTGTAACTCTCCACTTACTTAGATCATGTGATAGAGGCTTCTTAATCCTGAAAACAGGTTCCCATTTCATGCAGAATAAAAAGCAAAGACTTTACAATAACCAGCAAGATGCTACTGATAAGGCAACAAACCGCTTCTATCCCATTATCTCCCTAAACTCAGGTCCTTCATTCTCCTTGCCTATTCATTCTGCTCCAGCCATGCTGTCCTCTGTTTACACATGAAGCACAGTCTGACTTGGGGGCTTTGCACTGGCTTGTCTTTCTCCCTGGAACATGGATTCTCCGGATTACTCTATGGTTAGGCCCTTTACCTACTCTAGAATTTTGCAACCATATGATATCCTCATTTAGGCCTACACTAGGACCTACCTACTTACAATGATAAACTCATCTCAAATATCTAAACGCATTCTCTTTATTGTAATTCTAGGTATTCATCACCTCCTAACATATTCTGTTATTAGTATTGCACTTCATTGGTATTGCATTTCAAAAGCCTGAAACAACACGTGGTATGCAGTAAGTGCTCAATAAAGATTTGCTAGCTAGCTGAAATAAACAATAAATGAATAAAATAGGCCTATAAACATTTGTCAATTTTAATTTTAGTTAATCTCAGCAATGCATTGAAAAATGAGCTTCGTTACAAACAAAATGAATTTTCACAAACCTTAATGTCTACACATGTACAGTTCCCTTGTCTACAGTGTCCTTCCTTTTCCTCAATCATAGCATCTTTATATGATTTGCCAGACAAATTCCAACTCAACTTCTAAAACTATAAATAGGGCTTCCGAAAAAAATCATCCTTGCTCTCATTAAATCTGGGTTAGATGTTCCGCTCCATGTACTTATTTATTTTCCCCCATAGTCTTTCCAAATATATTCCACTGACTATATGTCTGCTTCCAAGACCAAAACAAAGCTCCTTGACAGCACAACCTGTTGTTATTTGCCCCCCTACCCAAACTGACACATAACTCACAACATGTAAGACAGGGAAGCAAATAGGTATAAATACACTATTTTTTAAAATCTACCAAACTCAATTAATGATGGATTACAAAAATTTACCTGCTACTTGTTTCCTTAGTTTTTCAATTTCTTCTTTTAAGTTTTTTATTTCTAAATCTTTGCTTGCTGTCAGTGGTCCATCGACAGTTGAATGCTGTAGAGCTTGGACAGTCTGTGTTGATTCTTTTAAAAAAAGAATGGAAGAATAAAAAAAAATTCACATACTTTAAAATTTTATAATATGTATTAGTATACTTCTCTGTAGAAAAATCTTTATATAGGTCTGTAGACCAGAACAGTTATCCCCTGACAAAGAGCACGTGCACACATTTAAAACTGTCATGAAAGTTTCACTGCATGTCTTTAAAATTTATTATACCTATAAAAAAGCAACATACAAATGAATCTGTCCTTTATTCGATGAGATTTTTGGTTTGAAGTATTGTTGTTATACTCTGCTGTTGAATCAACTACTCAGTCCCATCTCTCTTAGCAAAGAACATCATCATGTGATAATTTAAAAAGTTTACATACAAGGAACTAAGTCCGATATATGAAGGGAGGCTTAGATGTGCCATTATATAGTACATACAAGTCCCAGCCTTGTAAGTTGAGGCTCATCTATAGGTAGCATTGGCTCCTCAATTTAATCACAATAATTAAAACAGATATACTAATTTATCTTGCAGTGGGTTTTTGTTTTGTTTTGTTTTGGGTGCTCCTGGGGATTGAACCCAGGGAGCACTAAACTATATCCCCAGCCTTGTTTTTATTTATTTATTTATTTATTTATTTTGGTACTGCGAATCAAACTGGGACTTTGTGCTTTGTAAGGCAAGTGCTGTGCCATTGAGTTATATCCCCAACCTCCTTCATTTTTTCTTTAAGGCAGGGTCTCATTAAGTGGTCCAGGTTAGCCTCAAATTCACAACCTTTCCTGCCTCAGTCTTTCATCAAGCAGTTGGAATTACAGGCTTTACTTTGTAGTTCTAATGAGAAGATTCAAGATATTAAAGAAACACTAACTATATTGAGGATTATTCTCAGATATCACCAAAAGATATGTAAAAAAAGAAAACTTCAAAATCATTTTATATCAGAAATGAAACCACCTTTTGTCCTAAACTAGGCTTCCTACTATTTATGGAAATGTTTCTAAGTAAGAAGTCTCTCCCCTACTGTAATTATTCTGAATCAGCACAAATCATTACTGGACTTGAACTTGTGATCCTCCTGCCTCAGCTGCCCAGAAGCTAGGACTACAGGTTTGCCCAACTGTGCCCAGCTTCATTTTCTCTTTTTTTTTGGTCAAAATCTAGTATTTCCTCTACCTTCCTTGCCACCAGCTAATGACCCTACTTTGTATGTTATTTACTGTCTATCTCCTCAGAGTAGAAAGTAAGCATTACAAGAGAGGTGCTAAAAATTAGACCAAATCTCTAAGGTTTTAGAGGATTTCAGAAACAAAGTCCTTCCTGAGGAAGCAGGCCTACCTCAAACTCTTAGGTGAATCTCAAAAACAACATGTTATGTAAAGGAATCCAGACACAAAACTGAATATTACATAGCACTGTATCATTTATATAACATCCAAGAATGGGTAAAAATTAATTAATAATGAAATAAATTAGCACAGAGTTTCCTTTTTAGAGTGGCAGGGTACAGAGTGGGAAAGAACACGAGGAGACTACTACATTGGAAGTACGCTGTATGTTGGTATGGATGGAGGTTACAAGAGTGCACACATACATACACATTTACTGTTAATACACACAGAAGAGTGCTTGCACATACTACTATATTGTCAAATACCATATTAAAAAGACAAGCCAAGAATGGTAGCACATGCATGTAATCCCAGCACTAAGGCAGCGGATCAAAAGCTCATGCCCAATCTGGGCAATTTAGCAACTTACAAGACCCTGTCTCAAAAATAAAAATTTTTAAAAGGGCTGGGGATATAGGTCAGTGCAAAGACTCTGGGCTCAATCATGTGTATGAAAGGGCTTTTTAGCAACTTACAAGACCCTGTCTCAAAAAAAAAAAAAAAAAAAAAAAATGCCAGGGCAAAGGTCTGGGTTCATTCCCTAGTGCTGTAATCAGTCAGTCAATCAACCAATCAATCAATTAAACCTTATTCATAAAAGGGGAAGTAGTTCACATACAGAAATTTTGACAATTTATGGATGAACAGAAAGTAGTCTGTTCTACTGATGCCAATAGTGTCTTTCTCTACTTGTCCTCAAAAAGTATGATTATAACATTTTATGATTGTAAAATCTGATTTGTTCACTCTTAGGAGTTACAAGTTCTTAATTATTTGTTAATACATGCATTCCTTCATTCACAAAATATATAAACTAGGTTGTATGTTATATCTTTCATTTTGAAGAAAATGAACCATAGAAGGGGAATCCTGGGTGCTGGGGATGGACCTCAGATTGAATTATAAATAGGATAACTAGGAAAGGCCCTACTGAAAGCTTCCTTGAAATAGAGACCTAGTTCAACTAAAGAAAGAAGTCCTGCGACTATCAAAAGGAGAACATTTAAGGTAAGGCAGCGGCTAATGCAAAGGTCCAGGGCAGCGGAGAGGGAGTCTGCTTGGCTGTGGCAAGAACAGCAAGGAGCCCTTGGGTGGCCCAAACAGAGAAAACAAGAAAGTAGTAGGAAATGAAGTACGTAAGAAGCCTCATCATACATGACCTTAGGCCACTGAAATTAATTTGGTTATTAATATGAGCTTGGAAGCCTTTGGAAGCAGGGATAAGACAGTGAAATAAAATGATCTAAATTATATTTTCATATGATTAGCTCTTTTAGAAACAAACTGAAAAACTAGGGAAGAGGGTAGGAAAAGGTATAGTAAGGGAAATCAGTTAATAAGTTGCTACAATAATATAGAGGAGAATGGACGGTGGTTTAACATTGGATCAGAGCATTACAGTGAGTGATAACTGGACTATGGTTCTATTAAAATGGGCAAAGTTAACTTGATCTGCTCATGGATCAGATAGGAATGTTAAGAAAAAAGAAGGCTTAGGGATGGCCATAAGGTTTTTCTTCTCACAATATGGAAAGCCTGTAATACTCTAGGGCACTCTAACAATCAAAGGTCAGAGTTAAGAAAAAAATCAGCAAAGGAAGCTCTAGAAGGGCTGTTTCATGAGGAAAAAGAAAAACTAGGAAAGTAAAGTGCCCCACCCCAAAAGTTTTATCTGGAGGGAAAAATGCTTAATTGGGTCAAATAATGCTGATAGGTAAAAAAGACAGGGACTAAGAAACGATCAGTGGATTTTACAACACAGGGTAAATAAATGGGCAGGGAAAGAAAAGTAAGCCTGTTGGATAGCATTTAGGGCTGGTGCTCATGAATTTGAAATGACAAGAGTCAACTTACTGTGTGTTTTAAGTATGCTATCTTTGCATATGCAAAGCTGTATGTTATGACAAAAAGCAAGTAGAATTATGCATGTGAGGATATGTATGACAGTATGATTACTACTAACTGTAGAATAGAAACAAGAGTATATGCTGGTTTGAACCTTAACGCTCACAGGTTAAAGGACTGATCACTAGCATGTGGCACTACTGGGAAATGGTGGAATCATGAGAAGACAGGACCTAGATGCAGAAAGTGAGTTACTTCAAGGGTAACCTTGAAGGAGATCTTGACATCCCTTTCCTGCCCTCTTTCCCAGCTATACAGTTAATAACTTCTGCTACCACCATGATGAACTGCTTCACCAAGGATCCAAAAGCAACTGGGCCACCACACACTAACATCTGAGAAATCACGAGCCAAGGTAAATCTTTCCTTTGTTTAAATTGTACATTTTGTCACAGTGATAGAAACTGATAACACAGCATAAGAACAGTGAAACGGTAATTATAGGGTGATACAGAGAATTGTAGGTGATGGAATTGAAGGAATACTGGAGTTAAGACACCAGGGAGCCCATCTTGTAAAACAGTGAATGTAAAAGCTAAGAGGCCAGATACTGAAAAAAAAACCCTGAAGGCCAAAAACACTGGTGCCACTGGTACAGTTGAAGAGGGTAACCCTATGGCCGTATGGCGAACCTTTTAGAGCTTTCAGTGGTAACAAACAGCCTCTTATATCACATGTGTCACAAGTTCACCACCACTAACTACCCTGAGGCTAAAAAGCCCTAAAAAGGGGAAGTCCCCTATAGACGAACCCCTGTTCTGGTTAGAGAAATTGGCAGATATCCCTAACCTGTTATGTATTCCAGAGATGCCAGATATAAGAGAAAGTACTCAGCTGGCTAAACCCAAGGTTGAAAAGAAAAAAAGAAAGTTTTTATTACCACTGCAAAACTAGTTGGTAGTGACAAGAACAGTGGTATGAGGGTGTTAAGCTTTGCAAAATGCCTAGACACTGTGCTACCAGTTTGTAGCTCAAAAGTGACAGAGCCATACAATAAAAGTTTTCAGTCAACATTTGAGAAATACAAGATAGAATCACCATAGGACCATCTTTATCACACTCCTTGGCCACCACAGAGGGAAGAGTGTGCTTTTCCTGAAGCAAGTAAGCACTGTACTGGACTGGACCTCTTTCTCTTGGTGGAGTTCCTCTGCATAAAACATCCTGGAAAGCTGTCACCCACCACCTCTACAAGACTTGATCAACTACATGAAAATGTCAGAACACCTCACTGATACTTACTTCAAGATGCAGTAGCTGTAGACGCCCAGATACATGGACAACGAAAACAGTGAAAATACAGAGAATGTGAAATACGAGATTACAGAGCACTGCAAGGTTAATCAGAAAGCTACAGATTTACAAATGTTTCTAAAAATCAAACTTATGCTTCAGCTCCCAGGCTACAGTGTAATCTGACAAATGGAATTTATCCTTATAATTCAGTGTTCTAAACTTCTTACCCAAAACCTAATTAAATAATAGAGACAGACAGACCTGAAAATTCCCTGGAAAATTATAAGTAGGAGATTATGAAAGGCTTGCCTGAAACTGAGATTAGTTTAAATATTATAACTTTGAGATTTATCTTGCTACCATCAGAGGAATGAAGGGGGGGTGAAGGTTTTTGTCAATGAAGACTTGAGAAACTAGGTCAAAACTTATAAAAGGTTCACTTTTATGTATTTAAAAATCACCAAACAATATGACAGGAACAACACTATAAAGAGTGACAGTGTGATTGGAGCAATAACTCTTAAAGATCAAGTAAATATGACATGAAAGTCATTAAAGTGTAACACTGGGGTGTGAAGAGCCCATTGTCCTTACAGTCTCCATTTCCTTTCCCCAGATGTATTTATTACCACACATTATATATGTATATACACACACACACAATGAAAAACATATTTTGTTATTTATTATTAATTGTGTTTTTACATAAATGGTATTATACTATGTCCTATATAAATATAATAACTTGACTTTTCACCACAGAGACTTTCTTTTAAGATAAAACAACTACTTGTAATATAGTTCATAACAAGATGGTACCAATTCAAAAGAAAAATATTATCCTTAAATATATTTACCTTGAAGCTTTCTACTAAGTTCAAGTTTTTCCTGTTCAAGACGCTTAATTCTTCTTTCATAAGCTTCAGTTGCTAAGTTGTTATCTAGAGTCCTCTGAACATTAACATCAAGATCTACTGAGGTGGGGCCAGCTGTAACTCTTAAACAGCTCCGATCAGAAAGAACACTGAAGAAAAAAAATGCAGGTTCACATTGCAATAAAAAATGTGAAGAAAATAGTTAACATTTTGAAATTATTTAAAACATGCATCTGAATATCTACACTCAGCTAGAATAAGTGTAGGAATATTTTTTGAATAATTACCATAAACCACTTTTATAAGTATTTTTAAAATGAAAATTTAAATCCCTCAAATTATTTTTAATCTTAAAAAAAACAAAATGAAGTTTGTTGAAGGGTTAGTAGTAGTTTAAAGCAATTTGACCACCTAAGTGAAACAACAGTTAAAAACATCTACCATGCTACACTTAACCAGAATTTTAAATTTAAATCCAAAACTGAGGTTCTTTCCTTAATTCAATATGAGCTAATAAAAAATGTAAGAGGCATTAGACATTCAGCAATAAACAAAAATCCTTGCCAATACAGAGTTTAAATTCCAGTGACAGGGACAGCAATAAGATAATTAAATAAAATCTTCAGTGCATTAGATAATGTTAAATGCTAAGAGGAAAACACGAAGAAGAAAAACAAAAATGAAGCCTGGAGGAAGAGGAGATAAAAATTTAAAGTGGTCAGGAAAGCCATCCTATGAAAGTACCTATGAGAAAAGTCAAGTTCAAGGGGGCCACCCAAGGAAGTATCAGGAGGAAGAGCGTTCTGGGCAGATGGAACACAACTGCAAGATTCCAGAAACAATGCTGTTGGACCAGAAAGGCAGATCATGTAGATGAAGTTGAGTAGAATAAGGCAAACGGCAGTAGGAAGTAAAATCAGAAAGATAAACGTGAACAAGCTGAATAGGGCTTATAAGAACTTCGGGTTTGCAATTACGATAGAAAGTCACTAGGGGTGGGGGTGAAGGGGATTGGTACTGAACAGGAAGTGACAGATTCTGACATATCTTTTAGCAGGATAACTTTGCATAGCTTCACAGAAATATAAGAAAATTATCATGTAGGTGGTTAAGATAGATTTTAAGTGAACAGAAGAAGCCTCCGCTGCAGAAACACATTTACGAGTCATCAGAAAATACCTGGAAGAATGAAGAGAGGACAGATGGAAAAAAAGAAGTCCAAAGACTGAGCCCTAGAACACTCTGAAAACACTGATATTCACAAAGATAAGGAGGATTAGGAAAACTGAAGTATAGAAACTGAAGAGTGGCCAGCAAGATTAAAAAGAAAAGCTGGCAAGTTCTCTGGAAGTAAAAGAAAAATGTTTTAGTAGTGTGGAGCTGTGGCAAAGATGAGACTAGGCAAATAAGACTAGGACTGAAAAGTAATCATCAGATTTGGCAGCACGGAGATCAAGGGTGAGAGTAATGAAGGTCTGCATGAAGTGACAGTGACAAGACCACAACCCTCACTGGAACGGATTCAAGGAACAGTATGAAAAAACGCGAAATAGTCAATAGAAATAATTTTCCTACAATACAGATCAGATAACTGGTAACAGGTGAAAGAAAGAGACTCAGAGAGGTTTCATATTTTGCTTTAAGATGGAAAAAAGAACTGCACGCTTTTAAGCTAAAGGAAATGATCTGATGATGATGATGACACAAAAAGGGTAAAATATATGGCACTAAAGTGAACAATATACTATGCTGGGCAGGCGAGAATGGACAGGGATGGCCTTAGCTAGAAGCTTTCATGGCCCATCCATGGTAAGAAGAGCACATATGAGTCCAGAGGTGCACAGGTGGAAAATGTGATCAGAGCTTGTGGAAGTTGTCTGCTGCTGGCTTCAGTCCTCTTGGTAAAAGAGTAAGCAAGAGCATTAGCTTAGAGTGAGGATGACTGAGATCTCACAGGCAAATGGAGAGTATGAAATGCTTACCTAGGTGCCAAGACTGAGTACATTAGAGTAATACAGTACAACCGCCAAGTAACAAGCTGAAGTTGGTAAACATGAATTAAAAGTAAGACTGGTAAGAATGGTTAGCTTTCTGCAGCCACTTTGAATTGCACAAATACAGCAGATAACTGAATTATAAATATTGACAAAACAAAGCAAATGTAACAGAATGGGAGAGCTAGGGAGCTGAGGTGGCACACAAGGTCTGATTATAATAATTCTCAGTGGAACTTAACCTGGATAAGGAGGAACAAGGGTATCTAGGTGGAATGAGGAGTGAGTGGAAGGATGGTATTGACCAATGTGTTAAAAATTCTCATGCTTAAAATCTATAGAATATATTCACTGGCATGACACTCTTCTAATTCTTGCTCCACTGCTGAGTATTAGATTCTGAGCTTCCTGTTTGTTCTACTCTTTCCCTTCCCAAAAGAGGTAAAATTCTTACGTATTCTACTTATCTAATTTTTTCCAATAGTATATTCATCTTACTTTTAAAATTATTTATTTATAAGGCTTTCTTATGCACTATGTTTTAAAAACTTTAATTCACTTTAATTTGCTACATATTGTCCAATGTTGAAACTTACCAGCTACTAGTATATGTAAAGCCAACAAATGGCAGATGGTGCCCAGAAAATGCAGTATGTGTTGGTGGGGGCATTGTTTCCTACAGGAAAAGAAAACGTTTGGTAAGAAAAAGGTAGCTGTGATTAATAGTTTGGGCTATAAATACTGTAAATAGGAAATATATGGCTTTGGAAATACTAATTATTTGGTACAGATGTTTAATTTTATAAAATTTACACCATGAATACTGATACAGTGAAATCCTGATAAAATGAAGACTGAAAGCCTGAGAGTACAGCCATTATTAATATTTTACATTTACATTTGTAAACTCCAAATCAATACCTAATGCTTTTGAAATTATTCAAGACATGAAGAGCAGAAAAATTTGAGTTATACTATACTCATATTTCTAGCTGAGGATGAAAAGGAAACACTCTGTTTTCTCATTTAAGCTCTCACACTTTAACCAAATGTCCTTTATAAGGTCTATTTGGTCCTACAGTTTTCATATTTTTGTGTCTTTTGCAGATAATTTCATTTTTTAAAATGTCTTCTAATCATAGCACTGAAGTGCTAGGTAAAATTTTTAAGTGAGGAACCTATAATGTAATTTTACAGAGAAAATGTGTTTGATAAGCTTCTTTCAGTTATAAGTTATACAGCTGTTAGATATGAGTTCAAAGATAATGAATCAACAATATATTATACAAGCCAGATGTGGTACTGCATGTCTCTAATCACAACATTTAGAAGGCTGAGGCAGGAGGACTGCTGAGTTTGAGGCCAGGCTGGTCTACAGTGAGTTCAAGGCCAGCCTAAACTATACAGCAAGACCCCATTTAAAAAAAAAAAAAAATCTCATCACATAAGGCACCTTTAAATAAAAACACATATAAAAAAAAGTTATATATTTCTAAACTGATAAAAACATTCTGACCAGAGGCTCTCAGGGACCTACCTTTGTATGTATTCCACAAAGCTAAAAAGGTCAATGTTAGCTAAAGCAATGTTCATAGTTAACCTCAAACTGTAACTACCATGAATACTTAGATTCATCTGTACTATGCACTCAATTTAAAATGCTAACCATAAATACAATTCTAGCAAAATATTGATAAAGGGAAGTCCATCTATTTCTTTCTTATAAAATTTAGGAAGGAAAATATAAGTTCTTATCTCCCTTAGATACAGTACCAAACAGTAAAAAATGGTATTAATATTTAAAATGTCCATACAGAATTGAAACACACTCAATAAAATTGAATAAAAACACAAGCTCAAACAGGTGCAGTGACACATGCCTATACACATCCATTTGCTTGGGAGGCTGAGGCAGAAGCATCACTTGAGACCAGAAGTTTAAGGCCAGTCTGGGCAACACAGCAAGACTCCATTTCAAATAAATAAGTAAATAAACAAATGCTAAAGAGCAGGAAAAAGTTCTATGTTCTTATTTTCCTAAATTTTATTTCAATATAATTTAATGACTCAGAGAAGAAGGCAACACATCCTGTGGACCATTTGACTAGACTGCTTGTCTGCATCTGCCTGAGCACAGCCATCCCCCCAGGCTAGTAAGGGCATGGACTTACTTTCTCCATTCTTTTCACACCACATTTGCTATTTTTTGCAGCAATATAATCGGTGTGGGTATTTGACCCCACAAATCAAGTCTCCCCACTCTAGCAAAAAAATTGCTAATTTTTATAGCCAGCTCCCAGGTCACAAGTAGGTGACATGGGTGAAGGGATGCAGAATTTACAATTTTAACTAAAGTTCAAGAGTATTTCATAAATAAATCTTTCTCCATTTATGTCCCTTTGGTTAATATATTAAGCTCTAAACTGACTGCTTTCGGCAGTTTTGTCCTGTTTCACGGCTGATTTTAAGGAGAGATTTGCCAACACTTTTACTCTGCCATCACGACATCCACTAAAGCACCTATTTTGTCTTCGTTAGGAAACCTATCATAATTTGTCTCAGAAGTAAATCTTTGACTTTTTCTCTTAGTTACAGATAACTATGTTGGCCTCAGTTAACTTTCTTAATTTCTAGATATATGATAAATAAACCCTGGAAACCATGACTATGATAGTTTGACTGTTAAGTGATGAGGTGGTGCTGGCACAGTACTCAGAGACCAAAAAATTACTTTACAACCATATTAAAAAGAAAAAGGACAGAAATACTTCACATTATACTTACAGAATTTTTTAAACAATCATCATCCACATCAAAATTTGACGTATCTGTTGGACTGCTAACTTCTGGAATATACGGGGCTTCACAGTTTCTAATATTATCCCAATCGATGCCATTAAAAAATGGGTGCTTCTTGAAGTCTTCTATTCCATTTTGACCAAGTCGATGTTCTCTGCTACAAATGAGTCTTCGAATAAGATCCTTAGCATTTTCAGAAACATCAGTCACTTGGGCTGGAAACTGAAACCTCTCCTGTACAGAGAAAAACAGAAACAAAATGTAAATCAGTTTCTGAATACAGAATAGACTTGTTTATTTTCTCAAAAATACACTTCCTTTAAAAAATATCTAATAAGTGTATTCTGGTATAGAACTGATACTAAAAGAGATCAGAGATGAATAGAAAAGACTGTTTTCCTTGAAGAATTTTAATTCCATATGTGACTTAGTCACAGATGTAGTACTGAAAGTATTAAACAATATGAACACAGATGTGCTAAATTAAATAGGATGAAATTTAAACTGATATTAAAATAAAGAGCTTATTAAAAGCTGTGACATCGACTTAACATTTCAATAGAATGTAGATGATCAATAATGTTCATATACATACTGTCTTTGATTGTTTGATCAATCTTACATTCTTACGTCTGGTGGGCTGAGCAACTTCATTGACAATAACAGTGTGTAATGTACTAACCATTGTTAATTCCTATCATTGTCTTGAGGTCATGTATTGTTTTTGTGTTGTTTTGATTTTGTCTTCATTGTTGTTTTGTTAGTTTTTTTAATTAAAAAAAAATTTTACAAAAAAAGAATGCAAGTTAATGGATTACACAAAAAATGACAAAATTTTGCTGATTTTTAAAGTTGGGCAATGAATCTATGGGATGTGGTAATTTTTTTCTACTTTTGGGTATGTTTGAGAAGTTCCAGAATAAACAGCTTTTTAAAAAGTGAAAAAAATAATGCTCATATACAATAAAAATTAATAATCACCCGATAATAGTAAACATTTTAAAAGAATTTAGTATCTCTCTGACACTAATGAAAGTATTTACTCATTTAATTAATTTACTACTCACAACAATTGTCTTAGGTGACTACTACTATTACAACCATCTTACAGAAGAAAATGAGACACAATGTTCAAGTAATTTTCTCAATGCCACATAACTAGTAAATGACAGAAATAGATCCTGAACTGAAGCTGTCTTACTCAATGATTCTTACAGCTATTTTCAGTTTTTCATCTCTTCATAATTATTTAGAGCACCATCTTTGTAGCATAAACTCTATAAAATCTATAGAATAACTAATTATTAAGCAACTAATCATAATAGTATCACCAGAACAAATTAAAAAGAACAGATTATCATTCTCTTCTGGAGTGTTCATATTTATATTCATGGTTCCTGCAACTGCTCAGTGTCTTCTGAAACACGTAATCAAAACTTTTCCTCTTACTATATATCTATTCTATTTCACTTAGTGCTATGCTAAACAGATTCAAGCTTTGCAAATCTTTCCTGCTGTGAATCTGGAATGTTGCTAATGTATTGTGATCATAAATAATATCTGAGTAGATATTCTGTATACATATCTTTGCTCTAATGAACATTTTCATCTGATGGCTTGTTAGAACTGAGCTTACTCAACTCAAAGGTCTAACCATTTTGTTTCCCTCAATCCTGGGGACTGAATTCAGGGCCTTCATACTAAACTATAACCTTAGCTTTTAAAATTATTTTAAATTTTGAGACAAGATTTCCTAAATTGCTAAACTGCCTGAACTGGACTCAGTCTTGTGATTCTCCTGTCTCAGCCCTCCATACTGCTGGGATTAAAGGTGTGTGCCACAATGCCTAGATCCATTTTTTAACACGTGTGACCTGGACAGAAAGGTTATAATTTACAGTCTCATCAAAAACACCTAAGAATGCTCACCTCATTGCATTATTTACATATTGTATGTACATACTATTTTTCTTTTTATCTTTGCCAATTTGACAAAAAATAAAAATATATCACCTGACATGGTGGCGCACACCTGTGATCCCAGCACTTAGGAGGCTGAGGCAGGAGGATCACCATAAGTTCAACGCCACAAAATGAATTCAAGGCTAGTCTGAACTACATAGTGAGACTCTATCTCAAAACAAAACAAAGAAATAAAATATGTCATTCTTAATTTTTTTTTTTTTATATTACAGTGTTACTACTAAGATTGAGAATGGTACATTTACATGCCTTCTAGTCATGATTGCATGTATAATAAGAAATGACTTCAACTGTCTATTACCTTTCTTATTCAACTGGACAGATCACTCAATTTCCTACTTTGGACAAATACAAAAAAGGTTAGAATTAAGAATTTATGTATAATTTATGGATTGTGATTACTCATGTTTGTTGTTTCCCTCACTACCAAAGGAATGTGATTTTTCACTATTTTTAGAAAAATATTTTTTCTTTCATATCACACTACTTTGCTGTTTTATTTACCACAATAATTTCAAAAGAGAGTAGAATATACTAACTTTATGGTTCATAATTTTTCCATATGTCTCCACCAGAGATTCTGCATAGAATGGTGTTTCTCCATAAAGCATTTCGTACATGCAGACCCCCAAAGACCACCAGTCACACTCAGGTCCATATCTGCCTTTTCCATCTTCCATGGCTTGAAGGATTTCAGGAGAAATATAATCTGGAGTTCCAACTGCCACCGAGGACTGAACCTGAAGAAGAAGTTCATGTTTTTATTAATGTATTATAATATATTAGAGACTATTTTTACGTTAAAGAATAGTTACACTTATGTAAGATATGCAATAGACAAAATTATCTAATAACAAGTATACTTTGTCATTATCTGAACTTAGTTTCCCAGTAAATAGGTTAAGCTTTTATATCATCTCCGTAGTAATGGTTTTCCAGATGTTATAACACTGTGACAGCTTCATTACAGTTGTTACTTAGCTGACTACATTTAGGGGAACAATATGCTCTAAATCATCACAATCATTAAAAACAAATTGAATACTGGATTTATATTATTATTGTTGATTTACTAATATTTATTTCTGATATATATATGTATATCCCATATATACATCTGGAACTGAAGATTTTATTATCAGATGGGGAAATTGATAATGCAAGAAATGTAGGCCAATAGTAGAGATTATATTCAAACTCCTTAATGGAAACCTAAGAAAAACAAAGGTGAACAATGTATTGTACAGCAAAATATTTACTAACTACTAAAATATTTTATAAAAGGGAAAAAAGTATCCTTCAAAAAATAAAGTCTTAGCTGGATGTGGTCATATATACCTATAATTCCAGCACTATGGAAGGCTGAGGCAGGAAGATCACAAATTTGAGCCCAGCCTGGACAGTGTAGTGAGACCCTCCCTTAAATGAAAAAAGGAAAAAATGCCAGGGATGTAGCTCAGCGCAAAGGTCCTA